CAAGTTACCGTCCACGCCCCCTAAGCACCGGCTTACTTTCCAAACCGTACAATATTACACCACAATGCACTCACAATCAAGATCTATTTCCTAAATAAAAAAAAAAAAAAAAAAAAAAAAAAAAAAAAAAAAGTATAATTATAAAGAAAGTATAATTAAAAGTATAATTATAAAAAAAAAGATAAAAGTATAATTATAAAGAAAGCGGACAAATCGAAAAAATATGAAAAACAAGATCAACAAGGAAAGGCGGCGTTCAATGAACGCAACCTCCATATGACCCAGCAACAAGAACCAATGGCAAGGAGCCCAGGCGGACCCCAAACGTAAAAAGGACAGGGCAACGACACGTTAATCAATAAATGATAAATAATTTGTAACTGATTAGGAATTCAAAGAAAATAATAATAGGCCCACAAAGGGGAAGGGGACAGGAGACCGGGGGAAGGGGGGGGGGTTAATCAAAGAAATAAAAACTAGAGGCAATGGGGAAGATACTTACCGTAGACGAGAAAACAACAAGGGACACAAGCAAAAGTGTCACCAAAACAGTATGAAACAACATAGACATACATCTGAGGAACACAGTGGGGCGCCGCCTTGGAACGGTCAGCAGCATAATAATGACTGCTGGGGAGTTTAAACCGGTTAATGGTGCACCAAACCTCGCTCTTAGCCCCACCATGTTCCTATAAACGAGACAGTGTAAATAAAATGAATCCCCGCCAAGTGAAATTCTAACAGTTGTCATGGTTACAAAAGGTTAAATAAGTAAAACACTAAAATGATCATGTAGAAACATATAAAAGTAAACCCAATGACCATAACAAAAGTACTCAATGTCCTAAAGGAAGACAGAGCAACAAGAAAATCACCTACAAGGGCCCGACGAAGCAAGGCAGAAGACGAACATTAAGACAATTCAGTCCCAAAGGGCTTTACGAACTATCCATCATAGAGTCTCCCACTTGGTCCGTCAGATGCAATCAAAAGAGGAAAGCGTAGTGTCCAACTGTAAAAGGGTTGAACACTAAACATGCAGTATGTCTTAAAATAGTAGGGTCATAACCTCTTTTAATAAAACGTTTAATAATTTTAGTAAAAACAGCAGAAAAATTACCATGACCCAAAATCTTACGAAGTTTGTAAACCACATCGCCATAAAATCCAGGCTGGCTAATCCCTTGTCGCAGAAGAGTTTTTAAATCACTATTGAATTTAGAAATTAAATCAAAGTTACGATTGTAAAATTTAGTAAAATATTTCCGTAATTTATGATAGCGGTAGCCCTGTTTTAGAAGCTTGCTGGTAATAAAAATATTCCGCTCGTTGAAATCCTTTACGTTCTTACAAGCTCTAGCGAATCTAATTAACTGAGAAACAGAAACCCGTAGGATGTTGCATGGGGTACGTCTCCATCCAAATGTGGATAATTAACTATACAAAAGTCAAAGTCATCTCTTTTATCATAAATTTTCGTGTGAATAGAATTATTGTTGATAGTAATATGAAGATCCAAAAATGATGTACTAAAATTTCAAGAGTTCGTTTTATTAAGTTGTAGTTCATGCGGATAAATGTCAGACACCATTTGATCAAAATAAGGATTATCTAAATTAAAAATATCATCAAGGTATCTGGAAGTATTATTAAATGCGACTATAACATCTTGTTGTTTCTCTTCCGAGAGACTCAACATAAAGTCTCTTTCATAGCAGTACAAAAACAAATCGGCGACCAGGGGTGCATAATTAGTACCCATAGGAATTCCTATGATCTGTTTAAATAGGGTATTACCAAACCTGACATAAATGTTGTCTAAAAGAAAAGAGAGTGCTCTACAAACTTCGTCACAGGTCCACATGGTATAATGTTTAACAATACCGTTAGTAAAAAAAGCTTTGTTCGAATTACATGCTAGAAAGGTAACTTTTTCCCGTGCAAAAGTTTTCTGAATTAGGGAAATGAGTTTATCATTGATTAATTTATGTGGCAAAGTTGTATAAAGTGTAGAAAAATCGTATGTACTGACAGTTGAAGCTTGAAAGTTATTAATTTTGAATTTATCCAAGATTTCACCAGAATTTTTAATTGACCAAAAGAGATGTTTGCCTGTGTTTTCATAGACTTTATCACAATATCTAATTACATGTGTTTTAATGGCAGTCAAACAAGACGTCAATAAAATAGAAAGTTTACTTGTAGTGCAAGATGTAGAATTAGCAATAAATCTGGCTTTGTAAGGTTTTTTATGTAATTTAGGAATCCAATACATAATAGGAAGTTTGAGTTCTTTTTCATTAATTTGGACTTTAAGATTAGAAATATTAGTAATATGATTGTTTACAATGTCTTTTTCGGAGGCAGAGGTTTTAGAATACGCATTAGTGCTATTTAGTTCCTTATGCAAAACGTTAATGTAATGGATTCGTCAAACAATTATAATATTATTAGCCGCCTTGTCCGCTGGCACCAAAACATTATGCTTAGATTGCCATCATATGCAAAAGACACCACAGATTTCATCAACAAATTACGTAATATTAAACTACAAAGCAAAAACCAAACATATTTGGTAACACTATCGTTATTATGAATACTGATGATTACCGACGGGAAGTTTTACGTCAACTCGAAAACAACAGCTACTATGAAAAATGTACGGAAGATCCTACAGAAATTATTAAATGTAACATATCGGAATGCATTGATAAGATTAAAGAAACAAACGACTGTATTTCAGATGAATTTGATGTATTTCCAACGAACATACGTACACCGTGTTTTTATATCTTACCTAAAACACACAAATCTCCAGACTTCACACTGCCATTAAAGTATCCGGGTAGACCTATTGTGTCAGGATGTAACTCACCGACAGAAAATATTTCAAAGTATCTCGACTTGCCCTGTCCTTTTTATGTTTGGGGTCCACCTGGGCTCCTTGCCATTGGTTCTTGTTGCTGGGTCATATGGGGGTTGCGTTCATTGAACGCCGCCTTTCCTTGTTGATCTTGTTTTTCATATTTTATACTTAAACCACATATGCTTAGATTGCCATCATATGCAAAAGACACCACAGATTTCATCAACAAATTACGAAATATTAAACTACAAAGCAAAAACACATATTTGGTAACACTAGATGTCTCTTCACTTTATACTAATATACCACATACGGATGGAACTGATGCGTGTTTGTATTATTTAAGACAAGGAAATAATAACAGCAGACTTTCGTCAGATGAAATTGTTAAACTTTTGAAACTTATTCTTGAAAATAACTACTTCAAGTTCGGGGATGACTATTTTCTTCAGAAAATGGGTACCGCTATGGGAAGCCCAGTCGCCCCCGCGTACGCAGCACTTTTTATGGGGAAATTCGAAGAGGAGTTTTTGAAAGATAGTCAGCTTAAACCGTCATTGTGGCTTCGTTTTCTAGACGATATTTTTATGCTTTGGGATCATTCTCTTGAAGAACTTAACACATTTATGCCGGCTCGCCACGGCGAGCCGGTATTACGTTAGGAATTTACTGAGAATCAACCTAAAACTCCGAATACATCCACAAATTTAATCGAAGCTTGGCTTCCAGCTTTCTATAAAAATTTATCTATCAGGGCTAGGATCCAAAATAATTTAGCCAATCAAATTTAATCTTACATAGCGTCAAAAAACCTTCAATTTTCACGCCATATTTAAAAAGCAGCAAGTATTGTTTTGAGCGCAAAGATATTATGATTATTAAAAATGTTTGTTTTCATGAATTCTTTTCAATAAATCATATTAACACTGACTTTTGATTTAGCGATTTCACCTGTTCCTCTGTAGTAAGTTTTCGTTTGGTTAATTAACATAAGTGTACACCTGGTTCTGTGCATTTTTTCTTTTTCCTTTTTTCCGGTCATTTTATCCTTTCCGGAATTAAGTGTATATATTTACTGGCCGGGATCCGGGACGCCCGGACTGGCCGGGATCCGGGATCGTATAAGATATAGAGGAAAAACTTATAAACTATATTTGTGTTGATTATTGTCGTAATGAAAGGCCATTAAACGTTAAGTTTTTTTTATTGTATGTAATGAACGTTAAATTAATTAAACTTTGGATATAAATATATTTAGAGCTATTTATCAACAAACTTAAAAATCACAATACTTATAAGTATATGCCTAATTAATTGGAAAAATCAACGACTACATTCTTGAATTGGTCAAATCCCGGGATCCCTTTATGTTTTAATGCGATCCCAGCTTTTCTGAAAACTATATTCTTGAACTGGCCAATTCCTTGGATCTCTTTATACTTTAATACGATCCCGGCTTTTCTGAAATTAAACTATATTCTTGAACTGGTCAATTCCCGGGATCCCTATATGTTTTAATAGGATCCTGGCTTATCTGAAAAGCATCTAAGACTGGTTAATTCCCGGGATCCCTATATTTTTAATAGGATCCCGGCTTTTCTGGCAGAATTAATTGACAACTTGTGTTTACTTTAGGACTTGTGTCTGTCACTCATTCCAATACTAAATATCATATTACAACTTAACTTCGTATAAAGAGACATCTTCATGAATTCTACCTATCTAACATTTATTTGGTCAAGGTCAAAAGGCCATAGAGTAATTGTGCATAGACATAGGGACTTCATTCTATCTGTTTACATGCATCTTCATATATACTCATATTCCTCTTTGTTAAACTGAGTGAAACTGGCTTCCATAACTTTATGTCACTTTTATTTTGATGTTCGCTGAAGTCTCTTCAGCTAACAGAACTGTCATTTTTACATTTCAACGCACCCCTGGAAAAAAATTACGAAGCGAGTCGCTACTAGCTTTTTTAAAAGCTAACCTTGTTGACAAAATCAACAATGTTCACCCAAGCATTAAATTCACCCACACCATATCTCAACAATCTGTTTCGTTTCTTGATGTTCAAGTATCAAAAGGAAAATCGTACGAACTTCAAACTAATGTTTATGTAAAGGATTGATTATACATCCTGTCATCCAAAACGGTGTAAAGACGGAATACCCCACAGTCAGGCTAAGCGTTACAGGAGAATTATATCCGACGACGACGTGTTCTCTACTTCACTGAGCAAACTACGAGAATTCTTCATAAGTAGAAATTTCCCTGAGACGGTTATAGATTCAGCGTTTCTTCACGTGTCACAGATGTCACAAGAGGATGCCTTACGGCCACAAGATAAAGAAAAGAAAAACGTTCTTCCATTTATTGTGACATATAATCCGTCCTTACCTAATATTGGAAATACTATTCATAAATATTGGGACCTACTAAATCTGTCAAAAAACGAAGGTGTTAAAAATATTCACAATAACTACACACCCATAATTGCCTATAAACGTCCAAGAAACTTACAAGACTTTTTAGTTAGATCTAGATTTGATACTGACAGTGACTTTACATCACATTCTGGAGGTTGTTGTAGAAAACGCTGTTCTCATTGTGTTCGTATTAATAGTGGTACGTCATTTTACAGTTCAAATACAGGAGAGATATTTGACTTACGTCAACATACTAACTGTCAAACCAAGAATTGTATATATTTGATAACATGTAAAAAATGTAGCATGCAGTATGTTGGTCAAACCAAACAACCTGTGTCTAAACGAATGAATAGCCATAAATTTGATATATGCAATTTTGTAGATCCTGCATTCTCCACTAATGTTGCAAATCATTTTAATAAGGACGATCATAATTTTACCGACTTTTCATTTATGCCCATAGATGTTGTTTACAATACTTTAGATCGTTTGTGCAAAGAAACATTTTGGATTCATAAGCTAAAAACTCATTTTCCAGAAGGAATGAACACAAAGTTGTTATACTCAATTAAATAATTCATAAAATATCAATCCACGCTACAAATGCTAGAATTACGCCACATAGATATTCGTTTTTTCCTATTATCATTTTTTATAATTAAACCCTATAGGAAATATTCGTATTTATTAATCCGATATCTATTGTGTCGTTTTTATATTTTGATGCTTTGTTTGGTGCACTTATCTCTTTTATCATGAATTGGAATTGTTCGTATTTGTTCGTTTTTCCGCTAAAGTGGGCGTGACGTTAATTGTAAAATTACGACGTCACGTCCGTTGATATTATTATTATTTATTTACCTTGAAAAAGGCATACATTTGCCGAAACGTTGGAAAAATAAAAAATGATATTATACGTGTTATTGCTGTGACTTTATTATTCTAAATAAAAAAAGAAATAGCTTACACCATGTTTCGAACCTACAGAGCCCCTAAGGTGACATTTTTGCCCGGCATTTAATTTGTTTTTTTTTTTGCAAAATATTAATTGTTTTTACGAAATATTAATTCGTTTTTACGAAATCTTATTGAAGGTCATTGTGAACTTGATAAAACACCTTCTAACCTCATATTCAAAAGGGGTTATTTACAAGCCAGAATCGACCTTGCCACCAAATATAACAATTATAAACCGAATGATTCTCAAGTTATTATATTTAAGTGAACAGGTTTTTTTGTGAGAAGTCATTCTCAATAAAAATATCCTCTTTTTCCCATTTTCAAATACATGTACATATTCCCAACAGCTGGAAAAAATCAAAATGTTTTAATTTCTGAGACTTAAAGGGGCTGGAATTCAGATTTTCACTAAAAGTATATTTCCTTAAAATTTATGTATGGGTACATACGCGCATAAAAACATTTATTTCATTTCAAAGCTCGATACAATCGACTGAACGAAACAAGCAAGAAAATTGTCTATGTCTGAATGTGAAGCCCAGGACCCCAGTTTTCACAACAATTTCCTAGCGCGTGTGCATTCAAGGCTATCGCGGCAACTCAATCAAAAGGCGATCATTCTAACTTATAACCAATACTGTACGTCGTATCGTCACGTTAAAGGTACTCCACTGAGGTACGGCCGAATGTCACAAAAAAAAAGTAAAATTTCACGAACCGATAATTTTTTGTTACCTGCGAGTTAGGGACATTCAAACAGAATCAGTGATACATTGATATGTGTTCTTTGGATTGGCAAGTCGTTTGAAATACATATTTTCTCCAATTTTGTGGGAAAAGCGTTTAAACACCTTTCAGTTTGCAAATCTGAATAAAAACAACGGTCACGTGATGATTCTCGGGATGACTAAAAAGCGAAACGGAGAATTTTTTTGTGTATCGGCAGCAACGAAAGTGCGAAACCGGAATATACCAACAATCCATAAATTTAAAAGCAAATAATGGGTTTGTTTGTTAAATTTCTTGTTGTTCACATATGTTCTTGTGAGAAAAATCTTTCAAAAGCAATTTCAATATATTTAAAGCATTACATTGTTGTAATCATGTTTTTTTCTCCATTACAATGATAAATTTAGCTAAACGTACGGAGTTGGAAACTGACATACACAAATTTTACAAATATTCTATTTTAATTTGAGAGCTTTCGTGTAATTATTAAATATCATTTATTAACTTTGTAATGGTTAAAATATCATGATATCTAGGCTAAGAAAATTTACTTTGTCAATCAGTGTAATGGGTCCTATATCAAAGGTCACTTTGGTTTATCTGACACCCGTTCAGGAAAAAAAACACTTCGTAATACCTTTTATACAACGAACATGAACTTGAGTATTATAAGCATAAAAAATCACACGCACACACAGAATTTTATTCCAGAGATTTCTCTTTAACTCTGATCAAAGCACTGAAAGCACTGGCTTAATAGAGTATGAATCCGGCCTCATTATAGGACATTTAGGCTTCAACTTTATTAGATAATATTTCTTATGTATGTCTAGTGCACATAATTAAAATTCTTTAAGAAAAAATCGATCTCCTTTGCTAGATAATCTGAAATTTAATATTTATCATTTTACATACATACTTGCATATTTATCCGCATTGGATGTAAACTTTGTTGATGAGAAGATTACTACGTTTTGATCTAAACATTCAAAACTATAGGTAATTGATACCTGTTTCATGCACATGGTAAACATTATCAAGAAGGTTGGAAAAGAGTTACAATCTGGCTTCTATTGATATTATTATTATCATTATTGATTTAGCAGATATCCTGATAAATTTCTTTCTTATTGGAAGGCCTCCGTACTAGTGATGGGTCAATTGGAGCTGTGCTTTAATGTTACCCAATATATTGAAAGCTTCCCGGTGGAAAAGAAATTGAGAGCGTTATAAGAGTACAAAAGGAAAACTGGAATAAAGACAAACAAGGCGACGGCAACGTTCACATGACGCAGCCCCCGACATCATCTTTCCACAGCAGGGTTATTGCCGTGACAAGTGAAATAAACTTAAAACTGATTATATAGTTGTTGTTCTTTAAACCCTAACTTTCTTTCAAATTAAACGAAACAAACAAAATCATGATACAGCAAGACAAATGTGAAGGGCAGGTAAGTAAAAGTAACTTTAAGAATTCAGTAAGATATTATTAACCTCACCTCATACAACAACCATTGCTTAAACTATGTTGTATAATACTTCCAACTCCTAGAGTAGACGGTAAAGGACAATGCATATCTAAACCATTGTTTTTACTCCTTATAGCCTGTTTATCATGGCATACTCATTGTTAATAGTTTTGTAAATGTTTTGATAAAAAAGTCAGGTTCATTTCCCGACTATTTTGAAAACACGAGTGACTGGTTTCAAAAACTACAATGGCTAAATATTGATCGGATGCATTTCATTGCATAAATAAGTTAGGGAGAGAACGCTGCTTTTCTTGCTTTATAGCACTAAAACCTTTACTTTTCTCTACTTTTGTCTCTTCTTTCTTCCTGTTTTTCATTTTTGTTTAGTCTTTTTATTAACCACTTGAAAGCCTGAAATAAATGTTTTCATTGATAATTTAGCTGTGGTCCTGTGTTGCTTGGTCGTGTGGGTGTTGTATTCATTGAATGTTACCATTCCTTTTTGTATTTCTGATTGAAGATCAGGAAATACAAAGCTAACATTCAATCTCTGACACAGCGGTTTCACGACAAAACTAACAACAAACAGTTCGTAAAACAGCTGAAAACTACCGATTTAAAAGAAAGAAATATTTTCATTTTGTTATAAGTATCCAACAAATTACAACGCATTCAAAGTTTAAAAGTAGCTTTGGCTTATAGAATTGTCAATGAATGCACATTCACAAATTACGCGGATGAATATCATTTTAATCAATGAAAATGCTATTTTAAGCGATGTCGAGAGATTATTTCACAAATAAATCTGACTGTCGAGTAGTGGAATATATACATGTCGGACTGTTTTGGCGAGAAGATTTTTGTTAAATTATGTACATCAATGTTAAACAACAGGTTTATCTTGAACAAAAAACTTCGAAATTAACCCGAAATGCAGTGAAAAATCTAAATTTAGTATTACTTGATTTTATTCAGGCATTGTTCGTATATCTTCTCCGTGGTGCAAGGGTAACGCGCTCGTTTAGTGTGTCTGGGGTTCAAATCCAATTCAAGGCAATTATTTTTTATAAAGTTTCTTTGTTAAGGAAATAGCCACGAAATGCAAGGATAAAGTGTGGCTGTCATAAAAATGAACATAAATGATTTTTTGATGCAACTCTAGTCATGCAAAATTCCATATGTATCAAACTCTGGTACCAAGCAAGAAGAAATATAGTACATAAAAATAAACTTATACAGGAAAATATTACAGTTATACAGTGCGATTTATATTGCAAAGATCAGAAAATACCACAGAGCTTGCAGCCTTTTGATTTATCTTGTTTTTCGTATGTATTTCTGGAGAATAGGCGGGTGGTTCTCGTAATACTTTACGATTTATAAGATTGTGTATTAAAAGCCTTTGTTAATTGTTTCGGAAATACTGGATATCGTTTTGAAATTTTTTAGAGCTACTTAAGTATTTTAAACACATGAACGAAAAATTTCACAGTAACAGGAATTAAAATTAATTCCTAAGTATTTTTGTGATAGTGATTATACCGTAATCAAACGTTAAAGGTCTCCTAAGAAATGTTCTTTGGAATTAAAAACTAAGTGTAAGCACTAGAACATAAACCACCAGATTGCTTGCAAAATCTTTATCGGCAGGATAAATTGGTTCACAAAACATGATATTTCACAGTCAAGATTAAATGAACAGACTGTCATTTTCTTCCTGTTACCGAAAGATACGAACAGACTGTCATTTTCTTCCTGTTACCGAAAAATACACACCAGGAAGATTTCAAGTAGAAGACACGTCACTGACAGAATGTTCTTAATATTTGAATAGAAAAGAATTTGCTAAAGCCAATTTATGAAAGAGAAATCGGGGATGCTACTTATAAAATTATTTGCCCATAAAAGAGGATTTATTTTACTCGTTTAGATTATTTTCAAAAACAAAAGTATCAAAAAGCGAAGGTTAGCTGATATTAAGATGTAAACCGCGACATATAAAATTAATTTACCTGTGAAACTGGAGTGAAAATGTGATAGTTTATCCGGTTTTTTCTTCAGTGCCTTCAGCACTTTGATCTTATCTGTAGTACAAGTAAACTATATCGTTTTCACCAAAAAATCATTAAATTCTAAACAAGTTTCTAATAGAATCATAAACATTTATTGTATCATAGTAATAATTGTGTGTGGAACGTGTATGTACGA